AAGGCAGCCGAATCAGATAAGGTGGCTTGTGCATGCCTTATATTCAAATCCAAATTTCTAACCGTTATCCGTTGGAATTCCGTTGGAATTTTTTTTTTAAAATTTCCAAAAAAATTTCCAACCGACATCCGTTGGAATTTTTTTTTTAAATTTCCAAAAAAAATTTCAACGGACATCCGTTGGAATTCCGTTGGAATTGTTTTTTTAAATCTCTAAAAAAATTTCCAACCGACATCCGTTGGAATTCCGTTGGAATGTTTTTTTAAAATTTCCAAAAAAAATTTCAACTGACATCCGTTGGAATTCCGTTGGAATTTTTTTTTTAAATTTCCAAAAAAAAATTCCAACGGATATCCGTTGGAAATACCGTTGGAAAATTTCAACCCTAATTTTTTCAATTGAATACGTTGAAAATTCCGTTAAAAATTTCCAACGAGCGATTCCAACGGATATCCGTTGGAAATTTTCAACGGATTTTTAACGGAAATCACCGTTGAAATGCCGTTGAAAACCGTTGAAAATTCGTTGGAATTTGCTGATTTTTTTGTAGTGTATGAATTATGATTTTAAAAATGAATATAATTAAAATTAAACTAAGAATGAATAAAAATGAAAATATATTCGAACAAAACTTTATTTAAAAAAGTACTGAAGACATATCTAAAAAATTAAACAATCAAACTAGAAATAATAAAATCCAAAATCCGAATTATACACGGTAGGCCCCTTAAAATTAAATCAACAAATTTCAACAACCCAAAAACAAATTAATAATAATAGTAATAATAATAATAATAATAATAATAATAATAATAATAATAATAATAATAATAATAATAATAAAATAAAAAAAAAAATCTCGAGGGTGGCACTATCGTAATTAACAGAGAAAACCCTAGGTATTTTTCAACACGTTTGATCCGGGGGCAGAACTTCCCACCTTCAGATCGACACGAGCGATTGAAAACAACAGCGAACGAAACCAAACGCAAAAAGGGATATTATATTTTTCCCATTCTTTATTTTTATAGGGTTTTATGTTAATCCGGACTACAACCAAGCTAGACCAACCTTTGTATATGGATCATTTTGATCCAAAAAAATATATCTCTTCCCACTAGTAGAATTGAACCCAATAGATCTTGAAATTGATTTTGTCTCTCTCACCACCAACTATATTGTGTTATTGTTGACATGTTAAGTTATTATTGTAAATACATCCACAATTATTTAATGATAAATAATATAATAGTAATAAGAGAATGAGACCTTTAAACGATGTGAGATTCCCTCCCCTCCCCACACCGTTCCTTGAGGGATTCTCCCTCTCAGCAAATATTCTCTCTTTTGTTTTTCTTTTTTTTCCCCCTTTTTCCTTTCGTCGTCTGCAAACAGCTGCTTCATCGGTTCCTTTCCTTTCTCAAGCTAAGCATCTCTCTCTCTCTCTTCTCTGCCTTTTTTCTTGATCGCTTCTGTGAGATTCCTTCTCTTTTCAAATGCCCACTTCTTCTTCTTCTTCTTCAATTTATGTTCTTTTTTTTTAACGACGCATATAGCTTCTCCTCTTCCTCTCTCTCTCTCTCTCTCTCTCTCTCTCTCTCTCTCTCTGATTTTTGCTCTTCTGTCTTTCTTTGTATCCGTTGAATTGTCCCTTTTCCTCGCTCTCTCTCTCTAGGCGTCGTTTTCCCTTGGCTCTGACGTTTGCCGCGCCTGGTTTTGGGAGATATATATATATAAACGAGGGCCTTATCGATTTTCATGGCTTCTTCTTCTTCTTCTTCTTCTTCTTCAGGGAGTGGAGATGGTATAGACCACATCACCAACCCTTGTATCTTCGGTACGTATTCTTTTGCTTCTTCTCCTGTGTTCTAAATCTTCATGTCTCAAGTTTATGTCATTTGGTTTCTTGCAGTACAAGTTACATGTACATGTTGTTTTTCAACAGTTTAATACCCAAAAAAAAGGTTTCCTGGCTAAATTCTTGCTTAATGGGAGCAATAAAGTTCTCTCTCTCTCTCTTTATATCTATATATATATGTATGTATGTATGTATGTATGTATGTATGTATGTATGTATGTATGTATGTATGTATGTATGTAGTTTCCACGCTATTAACAAATATATATATAATTAGCCAATGCACTTGTGAAGAAGTTACTATATTTGCATAGATTTCCCCCAAAAAAATATTTAGATAGAATTATATATATATATATATATATTAAGCAATTAGGTAGGCATTAATGATACAAATGGGTGGTGATTCTTTATCAACTTGTGTTTCTGGTGCTCTGCCAAGTGAACAGTATACCAGGGGCATCTAAAGCGCAAAAAGAAGGGCGGTGGAAGTTTTAGAATAATTATATAGTTTATTTATTTAATTATCTAAGCTTATGATATTTTGGTTGATATCCCCATAAAAAAGATACTCCATCCCTTTCAATATAAATATCGCTTTAGAGATTTTTTTTTTAAATAGTTGTCATGATTTTTTAATAAAAATTTTCAATTTTATCCTTAATTAAAATATCAAAAGTTGAATAGAGTGTTAATGTGGATACCATTTAATAAGGGTATATATGAATTTTTTTTTAAAGTTACTTAAAAACTGTGAAAAAAATTAAAAGTAACGTTTATATTGAAAGGGAAA